TGATCAAAGCTTCCTAACTGTAACTCCGCGTAGGCCTGCCGGGTTCCTTTTCAAATCATTTCGAAACCCTCTCGAAAACGCCACTTGAACGCCTGAATGATATCCTATCAATCTAATAAAACAAACGGCAGGAAGACCATATACAACGCGGCGCACACGCTTTATCTATGAAATTGGAGAGGCAGGCGGAGAATATCGGAGGGAAAGAGACGCCATGGCGAGGGCAACATATCCGTAACATACCGCAATGTTTTCTTGAGGGCCGGCCCAAATTGCAGAATACCTTCTCCTCTCCTTTCCTCTCACCTCCTCCATGCCCGGAAGAAAAATTACGACTGGCTCCGTATTCAAATAGACGTCGGGGCAGCATCTTTACGCCAGCCCTTACTACGCATGTTCCCCTCAATAGCCTTCCAGATATTCTCCACCACCTCCCTGTCTCGCCACCTGTTCTCTGCGCCCGCCGCCCCCGCATCACGCACCTTGTCAACGGAGGTAGCTAGGACCCGATGACCGAACGATCGCACACTCTCAGGTGGCTGCTCGCCTCGCCAGCCGACGTAGATACCCAAAACGTGGCGGAAAAGGTCTGTTGGTTGGCTCCAGCGGTAGTTCTTGAACTGCCATGACTGACCGGTTGTGAAGACGGCCACCACGCGGTTCCAGTACTCGGGCTTGAACTGCTCCGGGCCTTCGACGAGAATGAAGCGCATTGGGCGGTTGGGGTCGATGTCTTTCATCATGCGCGACAGGTGCAGCACAGAGGTGGAGGCGTTGTGATCTGGCAACGTGTACTTGCCGTTCTCGAGGAAGTCTCGGATGTTGGACATGCGGAGAAGCGAAGAGGCGGAGGGTGAAAGGAGGATGATGGGGTCGGGTCGTCGCGCGGGCTTCTGGTTGATGGCAAGAGCGGGGTTGTTCGTAATTGCCGTAGGGCCGGGCTTCTTAGACATGAAGGCTTGCGCGAGCTTACGAACGTGTGAGAAATCCTGTTGGTTGAAACGTCCGAGTTAGTTGCGCTGCGACTGTGAACCATAGGACTCTCCCCAATCAAGAGGTAGGTTTATGTACTCACTGTGGGCTTGATTCCCCTCAGAACACTGTTACGATCCCCCATGCGCCGTTCGCCGTTGTAAATCTGGGCGAGCCTGGGGTCTAGTGTCCCACGACCAGATCTCGCAGAAGCAGTAGGGGCGACCTTGGAGGTAGCTGTCGTGCTAGCAGCACCAGTCGCGGAAGCTCCACCTGTTTCGCCTGCCAGCGGCTTGATGTATTCACTCTCTTCACTTCCACCTTCCAGCCAGGCGATGAGCTCAAGGCGCTCGACGAAGGCAAACTTGTGTACAGCGCCGGCACCGGCCAGTTCCTCGTTAAGCTTGGTCGCGGAAGCGTTGTACTCTGGAATGGCAACTTCATGATTCAGCCACGCGAAGTAGATACTGCGGAGATCGACGGGGCTGCCGTTGGAGACAAAGCGCGTCGGCGCATCGATGGGAATAGCGACACGGGTTGGGTGGGTGAACACAAGGTGAGTGGCCTGGGAGAGCGGCACTTCGGCGCTGCTGTCGGAAGATGCGTCGGCGGACGTGGTCGGGATGATTTGACTATTGGATGCGATTGACCCCCGCAGGAGCAATAGAGGATCGTGGTCGACTGACGCCATCTTTGTCTTCTCGCTGTGACGCTTTAGGTGCCGACTATGGAATTGTACGCCGTGGCGGTGGATTGGTTGATGATGTCGAGGTAGGGATGACGCGCTTGACAAGTTTCGCTAAGGGATGCAGTGGGCGTTCAATTGAGGGCTGAGGTTGAGTGCCACGGAGAAGCGGCGAAAAAGGGTGCAGCTTGGTGAAAGAAAGCTCGAAGATGCTCAAAATAGTTTGACAATGGCAAGGTCCGGGACAAGTGAAGGTGATGGATTCAACTGCCCGGTCCAGGTCGGTGGTCGGACTGGACGCGGCGCGCTCCACTTTTACCTATCTTATCGGCGCTGCCTGGTCTAAGGTTGCATTAACCTCAAAAGCCAAGCATCGCGGGGGAGAGATACACGTATAACCCTAACCCGTTTTCTTGCTGACGGATTTAGGGGCTGAATAGGGGTAGTGGAAGCAACAAGTGACACGGGTGAAACAGGTTCCAAATGCCTGCCTTCGAAGCCTTAGGTTCATACTCCGTGAATGACTTTTGATGAAATAGGTGATGCTTGATAAGATGACAATCTGATGCCGCATACCACACGCGGTCATTTGCGGATATGCCTCGGTCCCTCACTCCCTCACTCCCTCTCCTTCCTCACTCCCTTTCCTTCCTCACTCCCTCTCCTTCCTCACTCCCTCTCCTTCCTCTCTCCCTGCTTTCACTTCCTCTTCGCAAACATGCACGATCTCGTATTTCCATTGACCTCCCCCTCGCGACTCTAAGCCCTCGCATTCAATTCAGGGCTGTTCTTCGCGGTGTTGCTATTTGGACTGTTCGACTCGCTCATTGTATCTCGGCTATCATAAGCATCATCGGACATGCTGGTGCTTTTTCTCCGGCCATGATACTGGTGTATTACAGTTAGCAATTCTTTCACGGCTCAAAAGAATCAGAACGACAGGCTCTGATAAGACCATTCATTCGGATCCAAAGCAGATAACCTCAAGGACAATCAGTCACTCACCACACAGACGCCCTTCCCTTTGGACTTGAGGTGTTTCGGGTTGGCAGGACACATCGGGCTGTTTGGTAAATGCTCAGGGATATCAAACATAAACTGTCCCTTTTTCCGTAGGCGCCCGCCTTCTCCGTCACCACGACTTCTTCCAATGGCCATGCGTTCTACCCGTTCTGCCCGTCTGGCTTCAGCCGATTTTGCTGGGGCGTCCCACCATTCTCTTCTCTTTTTATCGGCTGTCCCGGGTGTGGTCGGTAGCAAAGGCGTGCCGGGCGTTGGCGGTAACGAGGATAACCCAGGCGTTGGTGGCAACCCAGATAGGCCGGGTGTTGGTGGCAATGAAAAATTACCTCTACGAGGGCCATTTCGGTATCTCATCTGTTCCTCTTCAATTGCTTCAGCCGGATGTCGCATAGGCGTGGGTGGCAATGACCTATGCATCGTGGTAGTTGTGAAGTTGGTTTCCTTGCTTGATGCAGACGATCCTGTATCAGGTACATCAATCGGTATCGAGACATTGAAGAAATACCCGCGTGGTCGTCCATCAGCGGTGTCCTCTTTCAGCGGAGGTGTGTGAACTCGTGTGGCTTCCTGTGGTCCTATAGTCAGCAAATGTCGGAGTTGGTGAAATGCTTAGCTAACGAATATATAGCAAGCAAAGCATCCAATGCCTCGTATGCATGACATCACATTTCTATGACTTCTTCCTTTACTTACTCCTCCTGGATATTGGCTGGTAGTCCTCACAGGTGGTATGACTGGATATGAGTTAGTTCTCAGCCATAACAACGAACAGGATTATGCCAGTACATACCTGAGAACGCCGTCCTCAACCCTGATACAGATGAGCTGCTGCTTGCAGTGGTTGCCGATTCTGCCACCGCTGCTGTGCCGCCACTTGTAGAGTGGAAGGACCTTCTTTCAGACCATGCGCGTCTCGGAAATCTAATATAACTCAATCTAGAAGCCCTTCGACTTTCTTCCTTTTCCGGAGTCTGGTTTAATTCCAGTTCACCACTGTTCCGCCTGGCGAGCACAATCGAGCCATCTTTCGATAAATCTGGAATAGGGTCGGAGCGACGTTCACTTGCTGGTCCCGATGAAGAGTATTTCTTTGCTTTCTATTATGTTCGGTTGACGTCAGCATATATTTACTTGTGTAGTGTGTAGTGGGCACTTCGCAGCTTACGTCCTTTGTCTTCTGCAAGACAGACAACGCGCTGATGCCTCTCTTGGAGAGAAACCCAGGAGAACCGCGGGACTCAGTAGGAACATCTGGGGTGGCTTGGGCTGGATATGGGTCTAACAGCCTAGGCGTCTGAAGGCTATGTTTCGGTGCGAGCCACTCGCTTTCCACTAGGCTGGTGCTGGTCATTAGTTGTACGCCTGGGCTTTGGAGGGCAAGGATATGGGCCTCCTCGGTGCGAAAGCGGCTCTGTGGAGAACTAGGCGTGGTGCTTGACGCCGGTGGTTGCTGCTGTGGTGGGTTTGAGTTCGTCTTTGGTGAAACTGTAGGCGCGTCATTGTCAAGGCTCCCGCTTCCAGTCTTCCTAGACCGTCTTCTCCATTTCCAAACTTTGATCTCAGGAGTTCGGTTGCTACTGGTTGCAGCGAAGTCAATCAGCCGGAACTCACGCTCGGCCCAGTACCCTTCCGGATACCAAACCTATTCATATCCTTCCTTGGGTGGCCGAGGGGGGTCAAGGCCGTACACTCCCCTAGGAGAATTGCCTTTAGGGTTTCGAATCAAGGCGCCGCTGGTCGATGGCACCCTGCTCAACGACCCATCCAACACTGTACCACCAAGGCTGGGTGACGAGCTTCTCCTCCGTTCCCAGCCTTGATACCATGTCGACGACGACGGGGAGCTCATGGTAAGTGAGTTGTACCGATCTGGGAGTGTGGTCACGCGATCGATGGATTCCGAGGACTGAAATGCTTCGCCGTGGGGGTAAGGTACTATAATCGCTTTATATCTGCGTGGCGAGCGAAAGTGCCTTGTCAAGGTCGAGGTGGTGTCGGGGCGATTAGGCGAAGCGCCAGTGCACAGTGGCGGAAATCATGCTATGGTGGAAAAATGCGGAATGGAGGTTGGTGATCCGGTGTAAGATAGGACTTTTAGTACAATAGGGATACGGAAGAGGACGAGCAGGTGGAATGCTCGGGTTGACTGGATTTAAGGAAGAAAATATTTAGTAGAGCTTCGTGTGGAAAAAAGTGATACAGGATGATGCCGTCATATACATGAGACATCGAAGTAGGAGAACTGCATGACTTGGGCTTTCTCTTCACTGTTCTTTCAATTTGGTGGTGCGGCAGAGGGTCGTGACTGCCCCTTCATCTCAAAACACATCTGTAATGGCTCCTGCTAAAACGGGTATCTTGATTTTATAACTTTGCGCTCTAAAAGTATATATAGCTCGTCAACATCTACTTTTGTTGGTCAGTCAGCATTACTCTGGTCCAAGGGGTACATAATGACTGACATGGCGTAACCACTTCATATTCAAGCGGCGTAATGAGTAGCCACTGTCTAGGCGTAACCTAGCACATCAAAGGGGCCCATATGTAAGGACTGCCAACCCACCAAGGTCACTGAACAATATAACTCCCGTCTCCATGCGCGTACCAGGCAAGAAATTAACAACATATCCTCGTTGCGTTGCCTGCCAAGGGTTCATCGTCTATAAGTCATCACCGGATCACCGACGTAGTTTTCAAGCATCCATCATCGTGTCATCGCCGTCGAAACCGGGTTGCGCGACAGGGACACCACCTCCGCGGCCTGCGAGAAGTTCTCGCCTGATCTCAGGCGAAATCTTGTCATGGCCGTGGGTTAGGAGAAGGTCCAAAAGAGCCTCTCGCTGATCCTCGGTGACTATACAAGAAGCGCGGTTAGTACTCGAACACATATCGACGCATAGTAAAAACAAGGACGGTAAGAGAAGAAAACCTACTATTCGTCTTGTATCTTTGAGCGAATGAAAGCATGCACTGATGGAAGATGACTGGCAAGGCGTTGGGTGCCATGTGCCCGCCGGTGGCAAAAGCGGGATACCGAAGGAAGTGGAAAACAAGGGCGTCGAGCGCTTGGAAGGCTGTATTACGGAGTCAAAAAATGCCATCAATGTTATCTCGGGAATTGGGCTTACGCAAGGCGTGACGCTTCTCGATAAGAGTCTTGAGGAGGAAATTTGTAGCGCTCACGCAGTCGAGCTTCTGAGTAGCTTGCGCAGAAGAGATTTCGCACAGACCCTTGATGGCCATGCCGGAGTGGACAGCCGGAATGGTGACACGGGTCAGAACACCGGCGACAATCTGCGCCTCACGCAGAGAGCACGTCCCGGAAGCCGCCAAAGGAAACAGGAAGCCTGCCAAGCGTTAGCTGGGCTGTCCGTTTTGTGCAAAATACCGAGTAAGCGGAGGAGCACTATACCCTTGAAGAAACCACCAGGCTTGTAAAGGGCCTTTTTTAGGGAGTTGAAAAGATGGACATTGAGCTTCTTGGTCTCGTGGATATCCTCGCGGACACGTTCCAAGATCACCATCTCCATGAACCGTTGAAGAACGGCCTCCTTGGCGGCCGCAAATATCCTGGTTGCCGCGTAGCTAACAGTCGCAAGTGTTAGCAGTGTTTCCCACAGAGCCACCAATACAGAAGAAGCAACATACCAGGCATTTGGTGTCCAGGACTCGGGCTGTGTGATAGGCAGGATGTCCTCCCAATGAGGAATCTGAGGAAGAACCTTGAAAGGCTTCGGAAGTGGCCCTGATTTGTAGCGAGAAAGAATCATGCCGATCCTGCAAAATCAAACTGTCAGCAGTCTGCAAAGAGGGCGATGGAAACAAAAGGCCGGCCTACTTCTCAAATACCTCCACCACCTTGGGCGGGATCTCGTAGTCCTCATCAATTGGGCCGGGCTCGTCGCGGTAACCGCCTTGGGGAACACCGGCTTCCTTCTCCGCGATCTTGGCCATAATCAGATCCGCCAAGTTCACACTCTGTCCCTGCTCTTCTGCCCCTTCTGGCTTTCCATCCCATCCGTGTGTTAGGAGCGGGTCCTCATTCATTGTGGGTGTGATAAACTGGTTGAATGTCTCGAGATCGGTGGCGTCGACTTCGATTTCCTCTACTTCCTCCTCTTCCTCCTCGCCCCAGGCCTCGTCGTTCTCGAACTTGTCGTCTTCTTCATCGTTGCGGTCGAATCTCGATGGGTCGAACTCGAACCCCGAAGGGGCAGATCCGGAGGCGGCGTTTTGTGTTGTGCGGAGGTTCTCCTCTTCCTCGATGAGGCTACGGCTCATAGCCAGAATGTTGCGCGAAGCCTTGGCGTCGACATACTTTTGCTCATCCCCGTCGTCTTCGGCGCGAGTCTTCTTGGTCTTTTTGCCGGAGTTGTTCTTGAGGACGCCGGTAGAGACCAGGTCGGCCTCGAGAGGGTTGTGGCGCCTCTTGGACGTGGCCGCTGTTGTCTTGGGCATCTTGAATGGCGGATATGGGTTGTGTGGTCGGGGAAAAGAGATGGTGGTACGGAGCTCTCCCGGTTGTCTCTTCGCGATGTCGAATTGGCTGCACTGCACAACTGGGGATATTTTTTTCCGGCGACCCTTGGACAAATTGTTCCCGCCGTGGGGAAGTCTTGGCAGTTGAAAGGCTTGCGCTACGCTTGTGGTTGGTCACATTGCTGCTATGTGGGCAGACTTTGTTTTCTGATAGCCAGGGCGGTGAAACTGATAAGCCTCAAATGGCCTGTTATCGCTTATCGAACAGCTTGGACGCGGCGGTCGGGGGCTCGGGGCAGCGATAAACAATTTACTGCCCCGCATTTTCGTCACTGTGCCCCTCCTTCGGTTGCAGTTGGAATTTTGTCCCTTGCGCTCACAGTTTTTGCAGTTTTGGTCCTGGGAAAAGAGCAAGGTTGCGATACCATAGCATCCATTACGAGCTCGTACAAAGTCGCATACAGCAACAACACATCCAGGCACTACCGCCAACGACAACATGCCGACCGAACTTGAAGAGGTAATTCTGCCGGAGTCAGTTCAGCGTCAATGGACAGACAACTAATCATACAATCGCCTGAAGCTCGTGGGGTTCATTGCCTCGCCGAACGCCAAAATCCGCCTTCTCGCGACCGAGAATCTGGTGCCCTTCTCAGCGTCTCAGCCCGCCCTCTTCAAGACCGACGATCTCACTCCCGTCAAGCATCTCAAGTTTTTGATCCGCGACCACCCGGTAGGCCCAAGAGACCTGTCTTATTCGCGCCCGAGCAGCTTCAGCTAAGACGTCGGTCCCATGTCCAGAAAATCGCCGAGCACGCCCTGACATGTCTGATCAACTTGACTGCCGAGAAGGATGTGCTCGAATACGTCGCGACCGATGACCGCTTCCTTGGAATCCTACTCGGGCTTCTTGTCGTATGTGCATCCAATCCAAGCTCCCATGGTGCGCGCGCCGCAAGAACTAACAGCTGCGGTCCTGGCCCTATAGGATCCCGACGAGGTCAACGCCAATCTTATGGCTATGTTGCTGGCAAACTTGACCAAGTGGGATGGACTCAAAAGCTTGCTGGACCGAAAGCAGCCCGCTCCCGAGAAGCTGGGGTCCGACGATAGGGTCATTAACCAATTGATGGACCTCTTCGTCAAGGGCGCCGATGGGACTTACAACAAGCATGCCGACTACGACTACCTCTCCTACGTTTTTGCCGACCTCTCGAAACATGACGAGATTCGGCACTATTTCGTCAACAGACAAGACTACGACGACGTCATTCCTATCAACAAGATCAAGGTCTTTACCGAACACAAGTCCGATATCAGACGGAAGGGAGTGGCGAGCATTATCAAGAACGCTGCTTTTGACATTCCTTCGCACCCAAAGTTTTTGGATGAGGATGACGTCAATATCTTGCCCTACGTTTTGCTTCCTATCATGGGCGGCGAAGTTTATCCTGAGGACGAAGCATTGGAAATGCTCACCGATCTCCAGCTATTGCCGCCAGACAAGCAGCGGGATCCCGACAGCAGCAACATCCTAACGCACCTCGAAACTCTTACTCTCCTGACTACTACGAGGGCTGGCCGCGATTTGATGAGGAGCGTCAGCGTTTACCCCATTGTTCGCGAAACCCACCTGCGTGTTAACGATGAAGCCGTTCAGGAAGCTTGCGAGCGACTAGTCAACGTGCTTATGAGAGACGAAGCTGATGGGGAAGAGGATAGAGGACGAGCAGTAGAAGAGGAGGACGACATCGTTGAGGTATAAAATGTTTTGGAAGGGAGCCAAACTGAGCCGGTTCACTGCTTTACCCTCCACCAAGAACCGATGGTACAAGGACAATGGTAGGCTCGGACAGCATTTGCCATTCTCTGAAACACTTGGGTTATATGATGCTGCAAGTCGTCACGTCGCCACACAGCCTTGCCGAGTCACCAATTGATCCCTGGGTCGGACACAACCATCAACACACAGTCACCGTTGCAGCGTGCAACTACGCCTACGACATTCCGTCACTTTATCAACCTTGGCGAAGCTTAAGGGTCTTGGGTGCCTCCCTGTGCTTGTTCCGATGAAGACGCCCTTCTTTCCGATCTGTATCATGATGTCACCCAAGCCCGCCCACCACGCACCGAAAGAGTGCTTCTGCAGAGAACAGAAAGCTTGTGCGAAGGATGGGAAAGCTTGTTTAGATGACAGAGCCAATGGAGAGCCACAAAAGCCCTACGTGCTCACAATATGGTCCGGGAAGCTTGTTGACGTCGGGACGGCTCGTTTAATGATGTATGCCGCACAACATGCAAAGGCTTGGTATGCACCAGGCATTTGGGTTGACAGATCAGCTTGGCATACGCAGGTTGAGCACCATAATCATCGAGATTTTTGTATTCGCCTTCTACAACATCATCGCAAACGATCTCTGATTTCAAGGAACTGCAGTTAATTCCACCGGGTCTGTCAACTTTCAAAATCGGCTGATATCACGAGAGGAGCTCTGTGATTGATTCTCATCTCGTGGTTGAAATTGGCGCTGTGATTGGCTGAGCATTGCAGATTTGCTGAGATCAATATGGTACGTGCTGAAAGCCTGAAATTGGAGGAGTCCTCTACCATCAAAGTCGCACACGCGGCTCCCGTGCTTTCTCGAACATGCATAAAGACAAGCTGGTGGTGAACCGTGAACCTCAAACCGACATGGCTCGATGTTGATGCCCCAGTTCTAGCTGATGGACAAGCACGGATTTGGACGACATCTTGTTGAAGACAAGACGAAAGGCATCTCGTTCATGTCGTCTGTTGTGTGCGTGGTCACGGATGGGTCCTTGCATGTGAGAACATGTTCGACGTCTCACAATTCAGCAATGGTTGTTGGGGTTGGCGGGTACCGAGTGCGTGGGCACGTGGGTGGGTCAAACCAGTGTCGGTGATTCTCCACGACAGGGTCCACGGAACCTTAAAAGAACCACTTGAGCCAATGGTGGAAAGCGAACCACGGCGCATCGTGCTCACACGTGTGGTCTCTTTCAATGCGATTCGTGGGGAAGACCCTCTGAAGGAGCGGCTCTTGTCTGGGGTTGCAGTGGCCCACGCAGGTGGATGTGCCAAGGCTGCCAAGTGAGGTTAGAGGCGAAGAGAACACCCGGGGTCTTGGACGGAGTCAGGTCGGGCAACAGACCGGTCCAGACTCTGAAAATCTGACTTCCACTATTTCCATGCTTCGAATTTCAACTGAACGCTATGAACCAGTGTACACTCCTCTGTTATGAGATGAACTTCACGGAGTGGTTTGCAGACAACCCATCCAGTGGGATTCTATCAGCCCAATGCTCCCCTCCATGATGTCTGGACTCGTAGCGATCTTGTCCTGAAGCCGAGGAAGCTTGTTGTCGAGTTCCAAGACGTGGGAGCCCCCACCCCGTGAGCAACGGGCCAATCAGGTGTAATGCTGAGCCCACGAGCTTGATGCTTCCTTCAGACTGGATACCCAAGCATCAGCCAAGCACTTGAGCATTTGCAGTCAACGGCTTGGCCTTCGGTATGCATTGCTCCTTCGCAGGTTCGGACAACGCTCAGCTAGGTAGCTGTAGAGGTAGAATGGACGCCCAGGCATCCAGACGCTTCCCGAGTGCACAACCGCATCTTCAACGGATGCCTCCTACAGGCGCCAAGTGATCGAAGCTTTCAGAGTTTGCCATAGGTACCTCCACTGTCTTGTCTTGGCCGAGTTCTGGTGTCTTCGGGTTGAACAGCTCGCTGGATTTGGAAGCTACCCACGTGCCCGAAAAGATAGGTTTCCTGTCTTGAGTGGGAGGAGGCTGGCGAGGGCATCATAGCGCTCTTCGCTGGGGCAAGTGAACAGGATGGCTTCGCTAGCTCGTAAAGGCAAAAACATTGATCAACCATTGGTGTGGGAGTGGGTGCGTAAAGCAATTGAGGATATCCCGCGGACAGGGTGTTGTGTCGGGGATCGGCGGCCTTTCACGCCATCCGATGGAATACCCAACCCCGGGGACACTGTAGTCCTACTCCTGCTACACCTCTCTATACCTCTATAAGATAGATTCCCACTGCATACCACCTCCATCTCTTCCTCCTATTCTTCTCGACAACACAACAGCCAGGTCCTTCCACACTTATACCTCGCTTGGTTCCCCCGGACCAGCAAGTCTCTTTCACAAACTCCGGTTTTGTTGCCTTGAGCATCAACAGTGTCTCAAATCTTCGATACTGCCATCACGACAACAGCAATGGGTGCCCCTCAGAAGACCGCTGGAGGCAACAACGCCTACCACAACTTCCACAATGACTTTCTTCACATTAAGGATCCCAACGAAAGGCGACGACTCGCCCTCGCCGAAGTTGACAGAGCACCATTCGGATGGTATCACGTCCGAGCTGTTGCTGTTGCCGGCGTCGGTTTCTTCACAGACTCTTACGACATCTTCACCGTCTCTCTTCTGACCCTCATGGTTGGCATTGTCTACTTCCCAGGCGAAGGCAAGATGCCTCACAACTCCGACACCGCCATCAAGCTTGCAACATCGGCCGGCACGGTTATTGGCCAGGTCGGCTTCGGCGCCGCTGCTGATATCTTCGGCCGCAAGAACATGTACGGATTGGAGCTGCTCTTTATCATCTTCGCCACTCTCGCTCAGGCTTTGACCTCTGGGTCTCCTTCCGTCAACATCATCGGCATCATCATCTTCTGGCGTGTTCTCATGGTAAGCAATCGTTCAGACACTCCCTCTTTCTAAGAGACACTTAGCTAACTCACACTTACAACAGGGTGTCGGCATCGGTGGAGACTATCCTCTTTCCAGTATTATCACCTCAGAATTTGCTACAACCAAGTGGAGAGGTGCCATGATGGGTGCCGTCTTCGCTATGCAGGGTCTTGGCCAGCTTGCTGCCGCACTCGTCATGTTGTTCGTTACACTCGGTTTCAAGAAGTCACTGGAGGTTGCTCCTACTCTGGGTACCTGCACCGGAGATTGTGCCGTCGCCGTTGATAAGATGTGGCGTACAGTCATTGGTCTGGGTGCCGTCCCCGGCTGCGTCGCGCTCTACTACCGCCTGACCATCCCCGAGACCCCCCGCTACACCTTCGACGTCAAGAAGGACGTTGAGCAGGCCAGCGACGACATCGAAGCCTTCAAGAAGGGCGAGCCCAAGGGCCAGCCCGACGAGATCACCCGCATCGCCACCCAGCAGGTGGCCGAGAAGAAGATGGAGATCCCCAAGGCCAGCTGGAGCGACTTCTTCCGCCACTACTCCAAGCGCAAGAACGCCATGCTGCTCGCCGGCACTGCTCTCTCATGGTGCTTCCTCGACATCGCCTACTACGGTGTCTCGCTCAACAACGCCACCATCTTGGACGTCATCGGCTACTCCACCACCGGTGCCAAGAACACGTACGAAATCCTCTACAATACCGCCGTCGGCAACATGATCATCGTCCTTGCCGGCGCCGTCCCTGGTTACTGGGTCACCGTCTTTACCGTCGACATCATCGGCCGCAAGCCGATCCAGTTCATGGGCTTCGGCATCCTCACCGTCCTCTTCGTGGTCATGGGCTTCGCCTACAAGCACCTCGCGCCCAACGCTCTGCTCGCCATCTTCGTCCTCGCCCAGTTCTTCTTCAACTTTGGCCCCAACGCCACCACGTTCATCGTCCCCGGCGAGGTTTTCCCCACCCGTTACAGGTCTACCTCGCACGGCTTGAGCGCTGCCATGGGCAAGATCGGCTCCATCATCGGCCAGGGTGCCATCGCTCCCCTGCGCACCCGTGGCGCCGTCCCTGGTGGAAACCCCAACCCTTGGATGAACCACGTGCTGCAGATCTATGCGCTGTTCATGTTGCTCGGCGTCGGCACCACTTTCTTGATTCCGGAGACTAAGAGGAAGACGCTCGAGGAGCTGGCGGGCGAATATGACATGAGTGATGAGGAGGAGGCGCAGAGGAATGCGACCGCTGTCATTGAGAACAAGACGGAGGCACCCACGAGTAGTGGTGCTGTCCACGTTTGAAAAGGGATAGGGCTGCCTTAAAAGTTGTTAATGATTTGGCATAGTTTGCCTTTTATTTTTGGTTTATGACATAATGATTATTGGTGGGACAAAATGATAGTAGCGATAAAATCCAGTGGTGGAAGAAAAATACCCGGAATATTCGAATACAGAAGATTTGATAATAAAACATGATACTTCGCACTTGACCTTCATCTTGTGAGATTAATAATATGATACTTTGAAAAGTCGACTTACAGGACAAGAGTGTCTCCACAGGCCACTTGTGCCTCGAGTCTCGTCTTTCTTTGTTTCTTTGTTTGAGTCTCGAACAATAGTTCGAGAAGCATGGACTCGATTGCCAGAGTTTCGTGGCTTTCGTCTAGGTAGAGAAACCACAAGTTCTGTATTACAAGAATAAGTTAACACATTACTGCATGCTGCTAGATACCTGTCATTCTACACTCCTTCTCTGCCATTCGCTCTGACGACACTCCGAGTGTCTCAGCTTACTTCCGTGTGTCCTGAAATACGGTGCCTTTACGAGGTCTGGAACCGAGCCTAGGTAAGCGGGTGGTAGGTAACAAAAGTAAGGGACATGTACTAGACAGATTTCTAACCACTTCCGAACCTTCTTCGGTCCCTCTCATCCTCTACAACCAATGAATAACCTCTGGATTCCGATGGCTCTTACAACGCGAGATTTCATACAGGTGAAATGTGGTAAATGCAATATCTTTGTTACTGAAGACCGAAGAGATTAGAGTAGGAAGGATACTCCAACAAAAGGGTCGATGGGATGGACTGGGCTTCTATGCCCTAGGTCTAGAACGCAAGCCGTGACTGAGGACCGTGAGTGAACACGTCGGTCAAGGTGAATTGGTTCAATATATCTCGCTCGAAAGCTTCTTTGACTTCACAGGAGTTCCGCGACACGAAACTGCGTGGGGTCCCTCACGTTGTAGAAAACAGCGTGAAGATTGGAACGCGTGTTTACGTGACAGACTCTTTGACATATAAATCTGATGCCTTCCATAGAAGACACAGATTCGTGCCTGTAGTTCATTGCACAGCAAGCGCATTGCCAGTGGAGTTTCAAATTCGCAAGTGTCTACTTACAGTAATAATGTTGACAGCAAGTAACAGTCACATCGAGTCCGTGACCCCACTTTGTATACCTACTCAACTCTCCTAATGCTGACTGCCTATAACATAAGTCTATGATTCCAATGTTTCTAGAATCAAACCAGTTCCGCGTACTCTTCTGTAGATCTGACGATATTTGAACAACCACGACCCCCCTACGGCTACAAACAGAGCAAAGTCTCAAAAATGATAATGATACCGGAGTGGACCAAACACCAAAATGGCATCCTTTCAACTCTAAAGCCAAGAATATCTCTGGAGGTGTGGATAATGTACCTATCAAAAAACCAAGCCAACCAACGCCATGAAAATGTGTCACGTGCGTACACCCCAAGTACAAATAACCCTTTGTAGTAAGTGAACCCAAGCTTGACCGCCCGTTTCAAGCCTCCCCCCCCCTAGCCCCTAGCAACAAAAGTTCTTTATCTTAAATGCCAAAAAATGTCTTTAACCTTTCGTAAGTGTAGAAGCTCGCAGCCACCATGGGGACCACCTTCGCATATCCAATAGTCAAGCCGACAAAGAAGCCGCGGAACCCACGTTCCCTCATGATCATCTTGGCCGTCTCGCCAATGGTCATCCTATGACCATCGCCGACTGCTCCGCCGACCTGCATTCTTCGCCTGATGACCTCCAATGGATATGACACCGTCTGCGAGACCAGACCCGCGATGCCACCGGCCGAAAGCTCTGCCCACGAGCGCAACGGGGCAGCCTTGCCGGCCGGCGCATTTTCTGGTTGCGGTAGTGTCGTCCATTGCGCAAGCTTCGGGTGTCGGAAGATGTCGCCAACAGTGTCGTGCGTGAGGAAGGACATGCCAGCGTAGGGAAGCATGCCGAGGAGAGTGGGAGAGAAGCCGCGGTAGAAGTTGACAAGTCCGGTTTTCGGGATCAGAGCGGGCGCGTGTGCCGAGGCCGCGGCCATGTTTCGCATGAGAGCTGGCGCGTTTTCTGGAATTGTCATGGCGTTTTCGCTGTATATTTGCCTGACGATGGATCGAAGGGACGACCGGCCTTCCCGTTTTGTTTCGAACGCTAGTCGTACCCGGATCACTTCGAGGGGGTATGTGAAGAAGACGGAGGTGACGCCGGCGAGCGAGCCGCTGACAAGCCGCCGTAAGGGGGTTTCCTGGTCCTTGCGAGTGATGATAAGTGCCCTGACTTGCTCGTAGGCCAGAAACTTGATGCCGGCGTACGGAAAGATCCTGAGGAGGGTTGCAGAATGCCCTCTGAAAAGGCCCATTGGCCCATCCTGTCGATAGATGTCTTTTATAGCTTCTCCAAATCCCCACCACGAGCCCGCATACTTGAGGAAGTGTGGATTGCGAGCCTGGAACAGGATCTTGACCCGGTCAAGCGGTGCGACAACGGTTTTAGCCTGTCGAACAAGAAGGGTCAGTCAGAGTCATCGTGGTCGGGTCGCGCATGGGATGTGACGAGCGTAGTGTCGACGGGATTGAATATACATACCGCACATCCGGCCAAGCCCCCTGCTACCCCCGATCTCCAGACATAATCCAGACTCCGTTTCTTTTGGTTGTCGGAATCCCTCTTTGACCGCGGTACCGAAACCTCATCGTCTGTCGGGCAGACAGCTGCTTCACCCTTCTCTTTCTGTATCCTGGTCCCCAGCCGGAACGCATCGGCTGCTACCTCTCGTGGTTCGTTTGATGCGCTCCCCGGCATGGAGGCATGGCTGATGAGCGCCGGGGGCATTCCCTCTGACGCGGGCCTCGGACGGGCTCCTCAGAATATCGTGGGCGATGGATTGTAATTCGAGAAAAGAGAGAATGCGCCTTTCTATAAGCGCATTGCCGTCGGAAAAGTCTTTACGTTGTAGATGCGGGCTCGGCGATGCGACGGTAAAGTTGTCGGTTTTGCTTTGCGATCACAAGCCAGAAACACAACCCTGGAGTTGCGGTGCCGGGCTGGAAGATTGGAGGGCAATTGGTTGGGGAATTGAATTGCGAAGAGGACGCTGGTTTTAAGGATCGAGTCTAGGAAGATGTTGCGAATGTTGTGTTACAAGAACTGAAGATATTTTGGAGGATTGATACAGGTCCTGGAATTATTACATCACACACTTTGCAGCGGAGCCGGGGGAAGACATTGGAAGGGCACATTGAGGTCCCCGTTTTCTCTCCAACACTGCTTCGGGTTTGATGGCCTTCTCACTTGACCTCCAAATTCCCAAGTTCCCCCGCCAGCCGGTCCCTGCCAGCCGAGGATTGCCGAAGACATTCTGGAAACCTGGAACCGGCGGGGCTGAGTAATCTGCAAAACCACCATTTGTGTTGGTCACAAGACCACCGAGCGATAGCGCGCCGCCATTCAGATAGCATTTCCTCGGCTTTTGGAATTGTTATCGTTTGTTACGTACGGCCGTCTTTCTTACAGGTACCAAATTTGGAGGACCCTTTCACCCGCAACAAACAATCCACCCCGTGGATGCGGCTCCACGGCATCATGGTGACTGGACGGGACCTTGCGGCAGCCTGCAATTGACTACCAGTCAATCGGAAAATCCCACTGTCTGGAACCTGAATCATCTCTGTCCCTGTTTCTGTTTTTGCGGGGTGCAGCGACAAACTGGGTCTCAATGGCTCACCCTCAGCAAGCAAAACCGACTTAAACAGATCTCGATCACACCCACTGTCTGGCAGGAACTCTGAACATGGTTCACTCGTCTGTTTTATACCACAATGAAAACCAGACAGTGCTCCTCCTTGATCTGCCTCGTTCAATCGAGGAAGCTCAACTTCTTCCAAGCGAGCTTGATGATGGCGCGCTAACTCCGGCGAAGCGCCGGTTCCTGATCTCAGCAGAACCTCCATCATCTCCGTTTTCGACTCCGGAGCCCAAATCGAAATTGCTGTCATCCGCGGCCAGCGCCGCCCCGACTGCTTCCGCTCAAATAGCAGAGTTGATGACTCGTTCTGCTGCTGAATCGGCCCTGGAATACATTCAACGCTCTTATGCCGGTGAATGGTGTTTACCGCGTCACGGTCCGCCGAAAAGAGATTGCTCAACGACAATCAACCACAATGGGAAGCGGGGTTTCGATGGAGAGATTGCCAGCGAAGAGATTGGTGAGGTCGAGGACGAAGTCAAAGGACGTGACGATGTCTCTGGTGAGACGCCGCCAAACCACTCCCATTACATCATCCCAACGGCATCTCATTACCTGCTTGGCACGGTGAGGTCTCAGCGATCTCAGTTTCTTGCGACAGCGCCGCCCAAGTTTGACCTGATCCTCATGGACCCGCCTTGGCCCAACCGCTCCGCAAAGAGGAAAAGGGGCAGCTACCAGCCCGTTCGTGACACGGACTCTATAAAGGACCTCCTCTCCCAGATTCCTGTCGCATCGCACCTGTCCGAGGATGGTCTCGTTGCTGTGTGGGTTACGAACTCGGCGCGAGCTGCTGAGCTTCTCACATGCCCGAAGGGCATCTTTGATGAGTGGCAAGTCGAACTGGTGGGCGAGTGGATCTGGCTCAAGGTGACCACGGGCGGAGAGCCCATTGTGAGTCTCGACTCGGCTTGGAGGAAACCATGGGAACGGCTTCTTCTCGCTAGGAAACGTGGGACCGCTGGACCGGACGTCAAGAAACGAAGCCCTATAGAGACTAAGGTTATCGTAACGGTGCCGGACATCCATTCCAGGAAACCAAATCTTCGAGGTTTGTTCGTGGACCTTCTACCACCCAACTATCAAGCTTTGGAATTATTTGCCAGAAACTTGACGGCAGGTTGGTGGAGCTGGGGTGACCAGTGCCTGCTTTTCCAACACCGAAGCCGTTGGATAGACGTCGTCTCGGATGAAGAGCGCGAAGAAGGTCTGTCCGTTCCTCCAAAAGAAAGGTGAGGCAAACAGTTATAGAGAGACAACCGGAACGCCTTTCTATTGTTGTTCCGTCTACATCTCTGTATCGTATCGTACATGTCGCACGGTAAAGCCGCAAATACCCCGTCCACCACGTGCAATATATCATACAATCAGGTTTCAAGCCAAGCCAATTTCTCTATCCGCTCCAAAGATAGGTTATCATTTCCATTGCGTGAAAGGACTGTCGTTTCCTCGCTCTTCCCTTTCCTTTCCCTCTTCGCCTTATTTACTCCTGACTTTGCGCAGAAACCCAACTTAATGGTACGACAAAAAGTCAAGCAAGTCCGGGCCTTATATTTATTGCTTGGACTCCGGACCCTTGCTGTTGCTGCTCTCCTCCGCCGGCTCGTCCAAAGGCATGTTCTCTTCCACCTCGGACCACCCTTCCTCCTCCGGCACGATCTTCGAATTGAGGAATGCGTTCACCTTTCCGGGCGCCCACGTCTCCTCGCCCGAGAGAAGCTTGCTCTGCTGTGCCTTGATGGCCTTGCGGTCCTTGGTCACCTCATACTGCGACGGCACGGTGATTTCGCCCTGGGCCCTGACGGCATGGAATTTCTTTTCGTCCTCCTGCGCCTTGTGCTGCTTCTTCCACGTGCTGTAGTCGAACCCGTCGCGGGCGTCCTCGGCAGGCGGCTTGGGCCAGACGAACGGCTTGGCCAGCTCGGCGATCATCATCTTCTGCGACTTGGGGCGGCGCCAGTTGCCGAAGTCGCCGTGCCTCTGCTCGTGCATGCGCTGGTTGACGAATGAGCGGACGCCCGTCACCTCGACGTTGTAGACATGGTAGAGGTAGTCGCGCAGGTCGAGCTTGTTGAACTCGAGGGGGACGATGAAGGTCGCGAGGTTGGGCGGCTGCTTGGGGAGCGGGCGGACGAATGTGATGACGTGGTTTGGCCTGATGGTAGAGAGCAGTTTGTTAGGGCCGGCTTCAAGGTATTAGGGAGCGAGACGGATGGATGTGATGTCATGTCTGTGATCACACAAGCCCAAGGGAAGGACGACAGGAGTTTTGGTTTTTGGAGAAGAGAGGCGGACTGTGCAGGTATATAACAGGCGCAAACGCATCACAAGTTTGGTAGTATCTTTCTTACAGGAAGATCTGCTTCTTGCCCACCCTGAAGGGGGCGTTCCTAAGTGCCTCTGCACCCGTCTTCGCTACGGAGGCCATTGTGCCGGATCTGGTGGGTATATGGAAGACGTGAGGGAACGCGCCTTGTCAGTGAGTGAGGTCGCGCCGGGGATCCGTACTCGCAGCACCCGAGAATCTGGAGCAGCCGGCCGATTGAAAGATTGACGGTTCCCCGTTTCGATAATATTTTCCGCATTTCCCCCGGACCGCTGCCAGCTGGCGGCCTCGTGAGGGGAGCTGCTGGGCTACGTCCCCCACAAAGTGGAGCATCTAAGCTCCGACAGCGGTAAAAGTGGGTGCTGTGGGTTCAGAGACTAAACTTTTTAAGTTTGGATGCAAGACCCATACGCCATGCCCTCCCCCCCCCTCCATCTTTAACCACGAGGAAGAGAAATGGGTAGAAACTAACCCACAAGATGCATGGACAGAAGAGAAGAATTATTAGCTTTTATTTCATTTCAGTCATTTCTGTCGTCGGATGTCTTCTCATCCTTGTATAAGTACATATGGTCAGAAAAATAGCCACTGCCCACGTGGGCCGATATCCTCCGCAAAACTCGGACCATTTTGTGTAACCACCAACGCCTCGCTTTAAACATCCAGACCATCAACAACAACGCCCTTGGTCCAGGTCAATTGCATGACCCGAGCAACTTCGTTGGCAGATTCCTCAGAGACCATGACGCTGACCAGATACAAAGTTGCATCCAGGCCAGCGGCCACTCCCCCACTCGTAATGACACGTAGTCCACCTAGGCGCATCGCTGCGCGGCGAGCGATGGATTCGCGACGTGTGGCGCCCTTGAAGGACATGGATCCCTTTCTGTGAGCGGTGTCAGTGGAGTTCAGTCAATGTCTGTGGAAGCGCAAAAACTAGCTGTGCGAAGATCTCGGTACTCACCGGGCATTGGAAGGACGACGGCCAGCGTCAGACTTGCGGCGCACGTAGGGATTCTCATCCTCGTCGCCAATGTCAAAGCGCAAGTTGTTCACCACGTATCGAGCATCTTCGATGACATCGGTGCGCTCGGTAAGGTCACGAACTGCCGAATGGCTGCAGAGGTTCTCGAACTGGGTCATATAGTCGGGGTGGGTGGTCGCAGAAAGACCAGAAAGAATACCGAGTTCGGCCAAAAAGACGGATCCGGTGCAGATGGAAAGCAGGGTACGCTCGCGAGTGGGATCAGCCTTCTGGATCTCAGAGTAGGCAGTAATAAGGGGCATGGGCTCGGCCTTGGCCTTCAGGATGGCATCGTTTACGTTGCCGCCGACGACGATGAGGACGTCGAATTCTGATAGACGCTCGTGAGCCTCCTTCCAGGTGATCTGGGACTGAATGGTAACTCCCTGGTCTGAGAGAACGGTGGGTTCGCCCGAGGCGATGGTGACTTCGAACGCTCTGGAAGCTGCGTTATGAACCCAATGTTAGCAATTTGGTCGTCGACTGAGGCGTTGTTATTCGGGGGATATGACGTATAGCTGACTTACAAGGATCATTCGCTTCGTGCAGGGCGGTGGTAAGGACCTCGAGGGGACCAGCAAAGTCCATGAGGTTGAACTTGGGATGCAGGGCGAAGAGCACGTCAATGGGCTCATCAGCCACTGCAGACGATTTGTGTGCCATCTTGACGGCCTTGTTGTTGTGCTTGAACTGGAATTGAGGGATGGAAGATGGACTATAGTGGTCTGATGCTATCGCAGTCTGTGAACTAGCAACAAAGATTGAACTTCAGGATCGCGAAACGTCTTGGAGGAAGATATCTCTCGAAGAGCGCGTGTTGGTAGATTTGATATGTATAGATCACCTTTTGTGAGATGGATTGAACAGGAAGAGAATATGGGTGCCGCGGGGTGCACGGGAAGCTTCTCCTTATATGAGACGGAACGGCTCTTAATGGACAGAGCTCAATGAGGAAAGTGAGGGGGACGGGAACCATGACTGGATGGAAGGCGTCGTGCCAGATGATCAGCCCACGTGAGGAGGTGATCGAGCCTCGAGTAATGGCCCAGAATTGCCAAATGAATGCCCAGATCGTCCTCTCCCTCTTTGGAGGAGCAGTCAACGAGGTGCACTTCCGTCCGCAAACAGTCGGTTGCATCCGCGGCCGGCAACCTTTGCGGCAGAGAACCTCAATGGCGAATGGGATGAAACCTCACTTACACTTTAGAAGGTATGGTGCGTGCCGTAGCGGCAGTCGTACCACTCACTGCAGCTCCGGGTCCTGGGAGCTTGTTTGAGAACCCCACCTGGTGGGACCTGACGTGCGTTGAAATGCGGGGTAGCGCTGAACCAGAAGGTCTTGGCGCACCAAGCCCGGAAGCGACCAGGGGGTGACCTGCTGACAGGCGGCCCTTTCCCATCGCAGCTGCCCCGCAGTGGAGCCGGACGACCTGATGGGTGGTCTGTTCTTCGGGGGGCTCGGGCAGGTGCCGCACGCCGGACAGCTGTTAAAAATTGGAGTGGACATTGTTCGGGAGCCAACCCGCAACGCAAGCGGGCCACCTCAGGGCAGGCAGTGGCACGATTCAACAAACGGATTCCACTCGTATGCGACCAAACCATTGTGACCCCTGGAACAACAAGACGGGAGCGACGACCTAACGATTCAATCACGGCACAGTTGACTACCTGCAAGTAGACCACCCAGGCAATTGGAGACAGAACACGCCATACCATATCTTGAGCATCCGACTATCCAGTCCACTCTTTCATCCATACATCGGCCAATTGCCGGGTCGCGCCGTTGGATCTCAGGGGTCGGCAGCTTGACCTTGACTGACTGACTGGGTCACCATCCCAGTACCTTACCTGACCGCCGTGGTTACGCAGAACCTCACCACGGCATATCTGATACAGCTCCTCCGTGGGAGATACCTCCAGGTACCTCGAGACAGGTGTCTCAAGCTAGGTAAAGCTATCGGCCTGACTTCTGTCAAGAAAGCGTGCGGCTCTGATAAGCGAAGAAGGAGGGGCCATCGCAGAGCGCCACTTCCAGAGCCGCCTCGAGCAGCCGAGATAGTGTGAGACAGTCTGTCAGCCTTGCGCGAGTGGTTGCCTTTGAGGTTATTGTGGTATCTGATTCGTCAGCCTCGGTCAGGTACAGCACTAAGTTTGCTCATATCGTGCTCCGAGTCCCAACACCCGCACTAAACAACTTCTCGCCCTTTGTTGTACCTTTTAATCGACTGACCTCACAAGAGCCCTCATCCGTGGGTTGCCGCTTCAAGAGCGAGCGGGTCCGTATCACGGCTTTCCGAGAGCTCTGGGCACACCCATGCCCAACGGTAACTCGGGAAGCTCCCAACCCTCAAAACGTTACAGGACATACCTTTAGTTGCATGTGCCCGCCACCCCGCCGATCACGATGGCCTCATCTGGGTAAGTCTGCTTGAGCATCCAGTGATCGATTGTCCAGCATCTACCTACAGATCTCATGGTTAATGCAGAGTCTGACAAGCGACATTCATGAAACAGGTCTACCAAGGATCTCACCAAGGCTCTCACTAGCTTCATTCAGACACCAAACCTACCTCTCCCCAAAGAGTTCACCGACTTGATTAGCAACTATCTGGACAGGCACGAGCACGCCGAAGACGGAGCTTCAGATCGGTTGAACGAGGAGCTTCTCTCCATCTACACCAAAAACGTTGAGAACCAGCCCGGAAAATATGCCGCCTTTCTTGCGATTCTACGGGAACTCCGTCCCGCCATGAAAACGCCTGCCAGAATCTTTGAGTGGTGGGATAGACTTCTTGACCCGGTCTTGGAATATGTAGGACAGGAAAAGGGCTTGGCTCGTGAGGTTTCCACAAACACGCTGGACCTGCTCGCGATTGACAAGTACGATGAATCGTCAAACTCATCCGAGGCGAGCCTTGCTCCCTTCACTGAACGTCTTCTGAGTAGATGGATGGACGCTCGTGCAAGCCAGATAAACTGTGTTCCGACGGCGGACTTCAAAGACCGCATGGTGAAGAAGGCGTTGATGGTCTTCGGAAAGAAGGATCCCAAGGTTCGCATTAGCCCTTCTCCGTGCGCATGCTGTTCTTGACTAACCGATCAACAGGGCTTCATGACTTGCTTGGATCGGTATTTCCTCAAGAGAGATTATCGTAACTTTGCATTGAGCTTGTTATGCGATTTTGTTCAGAGCCAACCTCCCCACCTTCATGTTGTGCTACAAACACCACTATTCAACAACATTCTCAACTCTCTGCAAAAGGACGAATCGACAGCCACTGTCACCATGGCTCTGGTGGCGTTAATCATGCTCTTGCCTTACATACCAAGCTCGCTCGTACCGTTCTTATCCAAGCTGTTCAACATATACGCAAGACTTCTATTCTGGGATAGGGATAGCTATTTTGCGCAAGAACATACAGAAATCGGCCCTGAAGGTGGATCCAACGAAGTGACCTGGGAGAGGGTGCTTCTTGATCCTGACCATGACGGAAGCTCGATCCCTTATCTATCAGGCTACTTCACTGTCCTATACGGCTTATATCCCATCAATTTTCTCGACTACATCCGCAAGCCGCAGCGATACTTGCGCCATGCGAACAATGATGACGATATCGATGTGCAGGCCATGGAGATTCGGGACAGGTCCGAGAGATTCAGAAAACAACACCTTCTGCACCCGAACTTCTACAACCTAACGATTGACTCGGAGAAGACAGATATGAGCCGATGGCTTAACAGTGAGGCAGACGAAGTTCTTGCGGAGTGCATGGCTCTGTCGCTAGAGTCTAAACACAACTCTTCCGATGCCCGCAACACCACCCCACTACCCGTGGGAATGGACCAAGGACTCGGAGAGGAACTTGATGAAGATGACATGGAAGCCATCCTGAATGGGTCTTTGGACCGTGGAGGCTATTCGTCAGCGATTGAGTCCACGCCCAGCATAGTGCGTTCACAAGTTGAGCCATCCAGAGAACCTTCTTTGCATGGGCCGATCATCGACGCTGTAAGTCAACAAGGCGATAGCACACATCCCGTTTCCGACCAGGTTTCCCTTAGTGGCCAGGATGTTGGTGAAAGCCCTCTCCTCTCACCTCATCAACTCCAGTTGGCTCCACATACCCAACTCCACGATAGGCTTGTCACGTACAAGGCCAGCATATCTGGGCTTAGTCAGTCCCTAGCAAATGGCAGTGTACCTTCGCTAGCCCTCGGGACCCAGGAGGCTGTAGGGCATAAAAGCCAAGGACAGGGTGAGGCATCGTCTGATTCTCTCAACCAACTACAACCCACTGGTGAATCCAACAATCATGCCTCGCTTCTCTACCACCAGAATCTGCTACTTCTCAATGATTTGCAGTTTGAGCGGTATATCAAGCAGCAACATATGGCACATATGGGGGAACTGCGTCGTAAGCAGGTCAGGGAAGCTGCCACAGAAGCAGAAACGCAGAACCTTGTCATGGCAAACCGAAGTTTGAGGCAGAGGCTTGACGAAGCGAAGCGAGGCGAGGCGCAAGTGAAGAAAGAGTTCGATCACCGTCGAAACATCGCCAAGAAATGGGAAAACGACCTCTCTACCAAACTACGGGCATTACGCGAGGAACAGAAGAAATGGGCAGCGGAAGAGCTTGCCCTGAAACATCAGCTCGAAGAGTGCCAAAGAGAGTGCGACCGACTGCGTAGCGCTGCTGAGGTGGCTGAGAAAACAATGCTGCAGTATAAGCAAAGCAACGAGGCAACTGATATCAGCACAGAAGAGATCGACAGGCTCAAGGGGGAAGTAGCTCGTCTCACCGATCGGAACGCGCATACCACGGCAAGGAACTGAAAATGCAACAGGCGATAGAGTGTGCTGCCTTGGCTGAAGCTCGGGCAGAGCAGTTGTCGCAGCAAGTTACCGCACACGAGCTGCAAATCGAGAGAGTGAGGAAGCACTATGAATCCCGAATTGCAGACCTTAGTGATCAGTTGGCCAAGGTTGTCAAAGAGAGTCAAAGCAGGAACGTTGACAACGTGGTGGCCGTATTCGAATCCGCTCTCGCTGCAAGCAGAGCGAAGCAGACGGAGTTACAAAAGGAGTGCGATATACTGAAGCGAAAGTGTACCGACTTGGAGGGGTTCCTTCTGGAACTAAAGTCCACCAACGAAGAGCTCTCAAGCCAAATCCGCTCTAGTGATAATCAGTTGGCTCTGTTGGACGGCGGACGAGAAGCTATGACGCCTAGATCAGGAAGTCCGATCATTTCTCGAACGGCAAATCGGGGTTTCTCTGACACAGATAGTATCGAAGGCCTTTTCCGCAGCGCCACCCCTTCGTTGATACCAGCAACAAGACAAAGCTCTGTTTCTTCACCAACTTCGGTCCGCCGCCCAGGAACTCCTCCTGGAGCCCCAGCAAGTGGTGATACGTCTAGTCGATCTTCTCAGAGAACCAGTCCAGTTGCTGAAAGGCATCATGGAAAGGGTAAGTCACTATTCCCTTGCCAAAGTTTGCATCAAGTGAAGCTGCTAACTCTGAAGTCAAATAGGGGTGCTCGCGAACGCTCTTAAGAAGGAGCGTAAGGACAAGAAGGAAGATAAGCCCGAGAAGAAGAAGTCGAGTCTTCCTGCTTTCAAAGGGATGAGGGGCTTTGTGTGAGTGTCGTTACAGCATTGCTGGAGTTTGGAATCGAGATGGGAAAAGGTGGCATGGGGTAACAAACATGACTTTAAGACGACATTGCCGTTCACCCAGTATAGGCCTAATTGCTGCAGATTACCCTAGCTCAACGGATTGAAGTACAAGTACGGTATTGTCTCTCTTTTAGCCCGTCGTAATGGCTCTGTATACATTGAATTTACCGAGTTTGTTCGTGTAGGTCTTCATAGGTACCTGTGCCACGCGGAGTGGGGGCGTGGCACGGGTAGAGGTACCTCATTGTTCATTGTTAGTGTTGCAGTTCTTGGCGCTTCGGCTCACCCTGCCGAATCGACGATGACCCTGGTCCGATATCCCCAGCCTCCCACGACAGACTGGAAGCTCTCCACTCTGCCACCTCACGACAACAGCGCCGCAAAGGTACATTTTCATCGAATGGAATTTGCCCTGTCCTGGGCTTTTTTTCTTCGCTGTAGAATCTTCGCGTCCTCGGCTGTGACCAACAAAGCCTCAAAGACATCGTGAAGTTTGACAGCGGGAGAATCAGCGCGTGTCACACCTAGAGGCTGAACAATCCCGCCGTTGCCGTCCTCCAGCCTGCTTTATTACATATCCCGTTCCGTCCGTCTGGTGCCTGCATATCCGTTCTCCCGCGGCAGTTTTGCAGCGCGTGCCCGAACCAACTAGGCCGAAAGCTCCAAGAGCTTGAACGAAGCTGTTAGGCCAGAAGATCTCCAACTGCAACCAACCGAACCAGTTTGATTTGGCATTACCCGTCCGGTGACTGGGTGTAACAGCAACCGGATCATCGCCGCGACATCAAAAGGCAAACTTGGGAAATTCTCCTTCCGAGCATCTCGGCTCTATCAGTAATACACCGAGTTCATTCAATCTCATTCGAGCTGCCCTCATTCTCGGTCAGCGAACCAACAGCTGTCCGTCCACTGTGTCGCAACAGTACGCCTTTGAACTTGTTACAAGATAGAGAGCCAGTGGCAGCTGTGTGTCTCGGCTTGTCCCGCCCGCTACGGACGCAGGTACTGGACGGAAGCGTTGGGCTGAATATCAGACGACACTGGTACTAGAATCAGACGAACAACCACCATTATGCGCGCACCTTGAGGACCAGACCTACCACATTCTTGTCAACCAAGTAACCGATCCAAAATGCCGCCAATAAAACTAGCTCCGAAGCGACGCGACGCAAAAGCGCAAAAGAGCTACCTGGACTCCGTTGCTGATAAGCTTCTGGAGTTCTCGACGCCAAAACACAAGCGAGACCCAGCCCCGGCATCAACTTTGCACGTCGAGAAATGGGACGAAATTCTTCCCTCGGCGCATGGGCAGGTTGCCAGGAGAGCAGCCGTCGCAGACACTGAAAACCCAACACTAACACTTGCAATCCTTGGAGCCCACCTCTCCGGAAATTCACCACCCACCCGCGTCCTCCCACGACAGTACGCTGAAACCTCCACAATCCCAGCCTACTACGGGGCGCTCTACTCCAGCCCCTCTCCGGGCGCCGTAGTCGGCATCACCCTCGGCGCCGTCGCAGGCTTCATCCTGATCCTTTTCCTCATCTACACATGCGTCAATCTAGGCGGCTACTCAACAGCAATCAGCGAATCCGGAGGGACCGCGTCGGTAGTGACGCGGCGGAGCCGACACCATTATCACTCCTCGCACCACAGCGAGGTAGAGGGTGGCGGCCGTAGCCGTGGCGTGTATAAACACCGGGGGGGCAGCAGGCGCCGGTCAAGGTCCACGTCTTCGGCTGGTGATGGGCCAGAAACGGTGGAGATACGCAGGACTACCAAGACGACCCGTGATCACCGTGGTAGGGAACATGGACACGGTCACGGCGACGGCATTGTTCTTGAAGAGCGGCACCGGTCAAGGTCGATGGGACACGGACACGGACAGGGACACCCGCATGGAGAGCCGGTTGCCCAGCGCATCGTGGTTGAGGAGAGGAGGAGAAGTACCAGGAGACAATCGAGGACAGCAGCGAGGTCGCGGTCGCCGCCAAGACCCATTGTGGTGGAGGCCTCTGAGCCCTCGCTTCCTCATGAGAGAGAGAGGATTGTGGTTGAGGAGGATGTTAGTAGTGTGTCGTCGCCGCCGGGGCCGCCAAGGCGGAGGAGGAGCTCGGGATACCGCGAGATTCGACCAGATGAGTTTGCGGCTGGGGATGAGCCGTTGAGGGATGTGAGGAGGTCGAGAAGTATTAGCCGACATAGGGAGTGATGGGGGAGGAATGACACGATAAGAAGAATTTAGGATGGCGTGGAATTCAGTTTATACAGTTCGGATACCGGTGCAAGGGATACGGCATGTGTGAAAATACTGGATGGAAGCGACCGTGGTTCGGCGTGTAAGCAACATTCGGTACTGTGCGTTCCTGACCCTTGGGTAGACCGATCTTTAGACATCCTGGGAATATATCCCTATTTAAATGTCCGGGTCTTTTGCCATGTCGGATATCTGTTTAGCCCGGGACCAAATACCTACACTCCTCCAAGAGGTTGATCAAATTTGCTTTCAGTGTCGACAGCAGATTGTCATAGTTGTGAATAGCCACAGCCTGCTAGTTGGCCATTTAACTTCCTATTGCCCGGGGGAAACACCTCATCCACCCATCACATGTGAAAGGAACTTCAGTACTAACTCTGGAGAGGTTCGTAAGTGGACATCACCCTATTCCGAATATCCCGTCCGTTGTCCCCTGTGGCGTCACCGCTGGCCCGTGTAAAGCGATGGGCAGGGTAGTTACTTGATTTCACATGCGCTGCAATGCAGCTGCCCTATGTACTTGGTGGTTGTGGTGGTGGGACTTTTTCTCAACCCCCTATCCCAAGCCGCACCACAACCCCTAACGGCTTTGACAGGTGCCCCGGCCGTGCCCCTGTCTTTACCTTTTCCGTTCCTGCCGTCCCTAACAGGGCGGCAGATTAGCACCAAAATCCCTGCAATGTGCCTGGAGCACCACCTCGATTGGCGCCTCCAGACGAACGGATACCCCCAATTCTCCACTACCTCTTTCAATGACATCACTGACGATACCTATTGCTATAGCAACTTCGCAATGAACCACCTTTCATGTGAACTTTGCTCGTCTGCTCAGATTCATCTTCCTACTACCTACTCCAACCGCCTACCTCAATCCTCAAGTCATCACTCCGACCCGACAGGACTGAAAGACTCGTCTTCGATTAGGACCACTATCAAGCAGCAATCCCGAATAAGATCACACAGCATGGAGCATCCAGGTAAGTCCCAGATTTGAACAGCGGACGAAAGAAACTGTCAAGGACCAGATATACTAACCAAAGCCACAGTGAAGGACGTCCGCGGAGTCATCCGTACCCTCTGCCAGGGAAGCCCAAAAGAACAGGAAGATACTCTTAACCGTTACTTTACCCCGTCGGCGTCGTTCGTCCATCCATTCTGTCGTGTCCCACATTTTGACAAGATCTATATTCCCGGATATGGTTTCCTGAATTCGCGAGAGTTTATTCAGTATATCTATAAGTGGTATGTCTATCCTTGGCCTTGCACAGTACGTTAGGAATGTGTGCGGGAAAGAAAAGAGGGGAACTAACAATGTGCTAGGTACAAGATTTTAAGTCCCAAGATTGATATCGAAGTCGAATCAGCCGGTGAGTTATTCTCCCTCCGCGTCAGCATGCAAAAACGTTGCCCTATAAGCTCAATGACTAACCACTTTTTCGACATACAGTCTTCGACCAACGCCTTTCCCTCCTCTACGTCAACATCGCTCAGACCTTTTCCATCTGGTTCTTCCCCTTCCACAAAGCCCCCGTCCGTCTTGTAACAGTCCTTCACCTCATCGAGGAAGACGACTTCAAGAACAACAACAGCAACTCCTCAAACCTCCGCCGCCGTCTTCCCAACAAGGCCAAGAACGCCTTGACAAAACAAGAGAGCGATGACAACGACTCCGATTACACAGATTCTCAAGAAGGACCCAGCTACGCCTCAGTAGCTGCCGGCGACGCCACACCAGAGAAGACAGAGGAAGGAATTTCCATGGTTCACCCGCCCAACCCGAGCAATCCGGTTGCTGTTGAGAACGCCCCTATTGCTGATGCTTCTGCCTGGGAAAGTGGCGAGGCGCAGAGACCAGTAGACGGTGTCAATGGGGGTAAAAGCAACAAGCGGTACCTGATCACCAAGCAAGAAGACTTCTACCAGGTCAACGACTTCCTCAAGTTTTTGTTCTCGAGCCCGGGAGCGTGGGTATGGTATGCTATTCAGTTGTGGAACTCGATCTTGTGCGTGGTGGGCGTGTTGTTGCTTGAGCCTTTGATCAGAGCTTTGGGGATCAAAAGGGAAGGAGGCGGAAAGCCTAAGTGGACGTGAGTTTCCGAGGATGTTGAGTCTGTAATGTGACCGTCGGGGAACCTTAAGAGGTCCTTGAGTGAGATGAAGGGGAGATCCAAACCGGATGGAACATATGACCTGAGACTTCACTTTAGACACGACCTGCATGGATAATGAATAGCCATAGACTGATTTCAAAGGCTGCAAGAGAATCGATCATCTGTTCATGCCATCTTCAGTGATTAGAACGAGTCTATACTCCAACTGACCGCTCTCCTCTAAGATATTCCCACAAAACATCCCAACGCATGGCGATACTGCCGGTAGAGGGTTCATCAGCTCACCACCAATTTGGAGATACCATATTCTGTTTTTCAATTGATGTACAATGCTTTCCTTCACGTCTCTTACTCCTATGCTTCACAGAAATCGACCTTCGCGTATGAATGATCGGTTTGGTCCTTCCTCTGTACCGTTTTCCCGCTTTCTGAGCTCCAGCCTTGAAACACAGGTCTTCGAATCCCCTATCCGCTGTCTCTGTACTGTTATTTTCTGTACAACGTCGCCATGAGACGTGCACGCTCCCCTGGGTATCGCTGCTCATAATGGGGCGCCTTTCGCATGCAATGTTCTCAGCCGCCAATCATCGATTGGTCTCACTATGCCCATCTCTTCCCCTCCCTTGCTCTCAGGCGAGTCGCCAAATCATACTCATCTTGAGAATTGATCTCCCTAGTTCCTTTTCTCCACCTAGCTAGCTACTCAACCGCGCAACAGAGACGCGGCATCCCAGAGTAGCACCCTCTCGTCCCAACCAGCTGATGCGCACCAGCCGCCCGCACCAAACAGACACCAATCCACGCCCGTAACGAATTCAGTATGTCTGTTCATAAGGCCCAACTGAGTTCCCGCGCGGACAGTCTCGGGCTGACGACCACTCGGTACGATATGCTGAACGTTCTGAGGCATCGTTGACCCATCTGTCCACACGCGCACCGACATATCGTAGCTGGCGCTCACCAAAATGTCGCTGGCGTGCGGGCTCCACGCTACACGGCGGACCGCGTACTCGTGGCCTGTCATCATGGCCAGGGGGCCGCCGGCCGGGTTGCGGATATCAAACGTGCGTATGATCCTGTCGACGCCCGCCGTGGCGATCACCGTGTCGTTGTACTTGTTCCAATCGTGCGTCAGGACTTCGTTGGGCACCGCGCCCGAGTAGATCGATCCGTCGGCAAGGCGCGAGTAGCCCTGCCCCCCCGTGGCCGGCGCGTGCACGGGGATCACGTTGGTCAGGTGATACTTGGCTGTTACGGGCGTGCGCAGGTCGAAGATGCGCAGGGAGGAGTCGGCAGAGACGGACGAGATGAGGGCCGGGTTCGAGGGGCAGTAGGAGGTGCTGTAGGTGCAGCAGCCGACGGGGAGGGTTTTGATGGACTCGTTGCGTGTTGGGGACCACTGGAGAGAGAGAGAGAGCAAAGTAGAAGTATGGTAAGTGAGTGTGCAAGTCGTTTGGGGTTTGGTGTTACGGGTTGGTAGAATCAAGCACATACTAATTTAACGGTGCCATCCCAGGAACTGGAGATGAAGCTGTCCTTGGTGATGGGATTCCAGCAAACAGAGAAAGTTTCCCGCTTGTGTTCGTGGAAGTTCATGACGGGGAAGTTCTCAACCCCCAAGTCGAAGAGCTTGATGGAGCCATCGCCGCAAGCAACGATGAGCTGGTTCTCGTTGATTTCGGACCAGGCAAGATCGTACTGGGCATCGTTTGTTTCGAAGGACTTTTCGCACTGAACGCCGGCGGCGCTCAAGCCCAGGCAGAAGAGGCGGCCGTTTCCGACGATGCCATAGTTGGAGGCAGTAGCGACAGCCAGGCGTGAGTCGTAGTAAGGCGAGTATTTGACGGCGTAGGGGTTGTAGCCCGGGGTACGAAATTCCAGCATGGACGCCATGTTGGGAAACGTGGGGTTGTTATGTGCTGCCCATTACCTGTGAAGTTGTTATGGTGTTGCAGTGGGCGCGTGACCTGCACGGCCTGATGGACCTGCCTGCGAGAGTCGTGAGAGGTGTTGCAAGCTGGAACGACGGCAATGATTGGGACGTATCGGCGGGTTCGGAACGGGCGTCAGGCGTGAGAAGTGATGAGCGTGATGTCGGGTACGTGTATTGGCAGAATCGTGAGTCTCGGGATTGTGACGGGATGGAAAACAGCTGGAAACTGGGGAACGCCGAACGCCAGACCGTGGGGAAGCCTCGGTTGTCAGCTACCTACCCCGGAAGCTCGCCTGCGGTTCCCCTGCTGCGGGCGTGAAACCCCTGGAACGCTACTCGTCTGAGTCGTCTGGGCTCAAAGCGCTTCTCTGTGACGAACGGCAGTCTGAT